CCTGTAATTGATCATAATTTTCTAAAACTTTTGTAGCACCAACTTCCATTTCTTCAAATTCTTTCTCTAAATCGGCCATCTTCAGTTTATTTTCTTCAATTTCTTCCTTCGTAGATTCCAGTTTATCTTCAGCTTTCTTTAAATTTCTAAAATTAGTTTAAAATAATTGGTTTTTAAGTCAAACTTCGAAAATTAAGTTTAAAATGATTGGTTTAAGTCAAACATTGAAAATTTAAGTTTCTAAATAATTGGTTTCTAATTGGCGACCCTACTACTTGTCACATACAAGCGGGGAATTGAAACCAGGCCACTTGACGCAATGACAGAAAGACCTAAGGAACTAAAACACAAGCATTAAGACCACTAATAATAATAATAATGAAATGAAATGAAATGGGGTTTAACGTCCTACTATTCTGCTCCTAACCTGGGCTAATGAAGACGGACGTACGCCATACAGTGTGCTATGAGGGAAATTTTGCCCGGACAGCGGCACTACGGCCTACTCTTATATCGAATTCCAACTGCCAAGGGATCTTTTACGTGCACGCCAATGTGTACACGGGACCTCGGTTTTTCGTCACATCCGAACGACTAGACAGCTTTCCTTGTCAGCCCCAATAATAATAATAATAATGTATATTTAAAATGCCCTCAAAATCCATCAAGACATTACATTTACATGAGTTTCTGGTCAATACAACACATATAAGGCAATCTGACCCCGGTTTCACGAAACATTCTATCGAATCTGACCCCGGTTTCACGAAACATTCTATCGAATCTGACCCCGGTTTCACGAAACATTCTATCGAATCTGACCCCGGTTTCACGAAACATTTTATCATTGTTGATGAGAAATATCCTTGATCCAGAAACACAAAAATTTGCACGTAGTAAAATCGAACCCCCGAGTAGAGTGTTTTAACCCTGACGTATAAAGTATTTACCTTTGAGCTGTTTTAACGCTAACTTTAGTTTTGGTTATATTTCCTGTGACCTGATCTATTTCACTTGATATTTTATCAACATTGCCTTGTACGGCCTTCAACTTGGAGCCACCAATCTCCATTATCTTCTTGTGTAAACTGAAAAACATAAATTCTTAAAATGTTTCCTTGCTCAAATCATGATTTGTTGTTGAAGCACAAAATTGGTTCTATTTTGAAATGAAATGAAATGGGGTTTAATTTACTACTGTTTTGCTCCAAACTGGGCTAATGAAACTGTCAAGGGATCTTTAACGTGCATGCCAATGTCCACATGGGACCTCGGTTTTTCATCCCATCCAAAGGACTAGACAGCTGTCCTTGTCAGGCCCTCCATCCTGCATCACTGACAAGGGGGGAACCTTTCCAGAAAATCTGGATGAACTTTCTCGACCAATGCAGGGATCGAACACCCGACCTCCAGGCTAGCAAGCCAGCGTCTTAACCACTTATAGCCATCGGAATCCCCTCTTTTTTGAAATATGAAAATAGACATCTTCCTCTGACAAGGTACTACTTCTCTATATCTGTATTACTACCCAGACAAATTACTACAAGGTACTACTTTCCTACATCTGAATTACTACCAAGACAAATTACTACAAGGTACTACTTCCCTACAGTTGTATTACTTCCCGGACAAATTACTACAAGGTACTACTTTGATACATCTGTATTACTACCTGGACAAATTACTATTTTCATATAAGGACAAATGTTAAGTTGTGTGGAGACTAGAGGGATACTCAACTGAACATTCAGGAATTGAATTCTCTAAATCTAAATTTCGGCTGATGTCCCCCACCGAAATCCCCCCCAAAAAACAGATGACACTTTTTCAAAGTTCTAACCTCTGTCCCACATGGCCAAAATTGAAGGAGAAAATGGATATATTTTGCATATTTTCAGTGTGCATTGAATTTCGAGACTGAATATTTTGTAAATTGATAAAAGACAAACTGACATTAACTATGCCAATTTTGGACTTTGTGTATACAATAGTGACTTTGTCAGAGGCTGTGGAAATCTCCCCCAAAAAGTGAATAGTGCATTTGCCACCTGGTTGCACGAACTGTGTGAACCGCACATTGCGTGTGTTCTACTCGTATTAGAAATGTGAGTTTAAAGCAACCAAAAACCTGAATTCGGGCATATGCCATACAGTGTGCTATGGGCCAAATTTTGCCTGGGCAGCGGCACAAAAGCCTACTCTTATATTGAATTCCAACTACCGGGGGATCTTTTACGTGCATGCCAATGTTTACACAGGACCTTGTTTTTTCGTATAATCCAAATGACTAGACAGCTGTCCTTGTCAGGCCTTTCTTCCTGCACCACTAACAAGGCAAAACCATGTCAGAAAATCCCGATGAACTTTCTCGGCCAATGCAAGAATCAAACACGCGACCTACAGGCTAGCGAGCCAGCGTCTTACCCACTTAGCCCCCAAGGGGGACCGACATAACTATGACAGGACTCCATTTTTCGACACCCGATTGCAATGCGAGATAGACAATCGAGAATCCCTAATTCTGTGGGGTTTTTTAAATCAATCCCAGCCTAGCTGTCAGCAATAAATGGTTCAACTTCAATCAGTCGTTCCCCAAATCATGTTAGTTCAAACTAAACATAAATTTCCAAATAAGATATGAAAGTTTAATAAAGCGCAATAAAACTTGTCAATTTCATCAGATAATTCAAACAATCTTTAACTTACAGATGAAATCTAAATCATAGCTTTCCACGCTGACACACAATCTTTTGAAGACATTGGTACACATTGTTCTATGAGGGAAATGTCATTCTTAAGCAGGACTACGATCTTCTCCTCCAAAACGTGGCCATTTAATAGAACTGACTAAAGCAAAACCAATCGAAACATAGCAAGGATTTCGACATGACGCATAATTTTCATAAATGAATGACTGACCTTTTCACCTCATCTTGTAATTTGGTGGAGACAGATGCAACTTTTTCAAACTCTGTAAAGAAAAATAAATTCATATAATTTATTCTATACGGGTATAAGTGAAAGATGATTGAAAACAATTTCCCGGACAGAGAAAATGAAATAGGGTGTAACATCCTACTATTACTGGTAGGGTTGGATGGCCGAATGGTTAGTGAGTGCTAATCATAAGGTCTGTTATTGAGTCAACGGCGTGGTTTCGATTCCCCGGTTGTACGTGACAAGGAGTAGGGTCACCTGTCTAACCTCGTGGGTTTTCTTTAGATCCTCAAGTTTCCCCCCACTGCTAAAGACCCCTACGCGCATGCGAATTATTGAAATAAAATTGAACCATATGTTAGTCCCAAAATGACTTAGTTTGTGTCGAGTCGATGTTAAATCCCATTTCTCTCTCTCCCTAATATTCCTCCCCTCGGAAAGTCCTGTATCACTGACAAACTGACATGATGAACTTTCAGCCAAAACTGGGATCGATCACGGGACCTCCAGGTAAGTGCGCCAATGCCTTATTCCGAGCCACTGTGACCCCTTTGAGATAGAGGAATTCATGGGTGTTTAAACTACAGTCTACAGAATATTTTGATTGGTTTGAGACTAGCAAATTTGTACTACTTTTCATGCGAACATTGTATAAAGATGGACGTCATGTTTTCGGTGGTTTTTTTATACTTTCGATGGCCCCCACCACATGAAGATCTCCCCGGTTGTAGTAAAACGTAGCATCAGGGGTCATATGAGCAGCTTTTGAAACTATGATGTCAGTCATTTGATTAACCAATCAGAATCAGTGTTTCGAGTGGGTATTCGGAATAATAACTTTTACTTTGATTTGTTTTCTATCACAAATGTCTACCCACAGTTCTTCATGTCTACCCACAGTTCCGCATGCCGAACTATAAAAACTTTACCTGCATCATCTAGAACCCTGGTTATTTAACAACTCTTCCAGATTCTGGTGTAACGAAAACACGTAAAACTTAACAAAATAGGATCTATGCAGTGGTGTAGTGAAGACACGAAATAGGATCTGTGTTTTAATGAGGTTGGTATTTGCCTACCTTGTTTAAATTGATTAACTTTTTTCTCCATTGTTTGTAACTGTTTAGCATCAGGCGCCACATCTTTAACTTTCACTTTCTGTTCTTTCACCAGTTTGGTCAGGACAGGGATCTGTTCAGTTACACCCTAAAATAACAACAATTTATATCTAGAATGAAGATTTGTTCTAAAATGCAAATAGTCAGGGTGTCTCTTCGTGTATCACAGATAGTCATCATGGGGACTTGGTGTGTATCATACGGTCAGTATGGGGACTTGGTGTATAACATAGTCAGTATAGGGACATGGTGTATAACATACTGTCAGTAATGGGACTGGGGACATGGTGTATTTCATACTGTCAGTATGGGGACATGGCCTACATAACATACAGTCAGTATAGGGATTTGGTTATAACATAGTCAATATGGGGACATGGTGTAAAAACGTAGTCAATATGGGGACATGGTGTATATAGGACCTTGTTTTTTTCATCCAATCTAAACAACTAGATGGTGTTCCGTTTGGCACCATTGGCCGGGGGGGGGGGGGGGGGGGGGGACCATGCAGAAAAATCTCCAGGATCTTTCTCCATGAATTACGGAAGTAGAGATGAAATCAACTGAAAGTAGAGATGAAATCAACTGAAATCAACTGAAAGTAGAGATAGTAGAAATGAAATCAACTGAAAGTAGAGATGAAATCAACTGAAAGTAGAGATAGTAGAGATGAAATCAACTGAAAGAAGAGATGAAATCAACTGAAAGTAGAGATGAAATCAACTGACCGTTATCTCGTGTTTGTATAACTCATAGTTTGTTTCGAGAGTCTTCAGATCTTTCTCTTGAGTTCGAATCATATCATCTAGACGATCTCGATTATCACGATATTCTTCTGTTTCAACGGTTGCCTAGGCGATACAATAATAAACAAAACAGATTAAAATACATGATACTCTTCAGGTTCAATGGTTGCCTAAACGATACAATAATAAACACAACAGATTAAAATACATGATACTCTTCAGGTTCAACGGTTGCCTAGGCGATACAATAATAAACACAACAGATTAAACGACAGTCTAACATCAAAATCTTTCTTTGCTTGATTTGATCTGACCGACATGTTAGAGAGGAGAAGTTGATCTGAACGAAGTATTAAGAAGGAGAATTTGATCTAACAGGCGTGTTAGCGGGGACAGCAGGATTTCTACAGTGAGGGTCCTTTTATGTGTGAACAGTTGGACCTTGTTTACTTATCCAATTCGAAGGAATAGTACTAGGACCTTGCTGACGCTATCCTCAACTGCTCACAAAATTAGGCTTACAAAATTGTCAGCTTTGTCTCGGTCCCAATTCCTGGATTAATACTCAAGAGGTTCCAAGTCTCAAAATACTTTGCCAGACACCTATTTTAAATGGAGAGAGAGAGAGATAGTGTTTAATGTCCACTTGACAGACACTAGGTCATTTTGGGACTAACATATGGTTCAATTTTATTTCAATAATTCACTTGCGCGTAGGGGTCTTTAGCAGTGGGAGGACCCGGAGAAAACCCACAAGGTTGGACAGGCGACCCAACTCCTTGTCATGTACAAGCAGGGAATCAAAACAGACCTTACGATTCAACATGCATCTGTTCAACATTCAGCCATCCAACCCCCAATTTGAAATGGACATACGCCATACAGTGTGCTATGGCCTACTCTTGTATCAAATTCCAACTGCCAAGGGATCTTTTACGTGCATGCCAATGTATACACAGGTTCTCGGTTTTTCATCCCATCTGACTGACTAGACAGTTGTCCTTCTCAGTCCCTCTGTGCTTTCACCACTGACAAGGGGAAACCATGCCGGACATAGATGCGAAAATGATGCTCAATAAATGGAACAAAACTATAAAAAAAATCTTACCTTTTCAAGAGATTTCTCAATGGCTGTCAATTGTTTAGGGTCTACATCTGTCACTGCCGCTGACCCCATACGACCTTTACTCACCTTTGACCCTCCTCCAGATAAAGTACCTAAAAATAGAAACAGAATATGTTTAATGCCAAGGATAACCTTCACTACACATGGTACAAATTTATTTCAATATTCGACACGATCCTACTGTAAACCAACGCATTAGATTTTTTTCATAGAAAAAACTAGGTCATTTTGGGACTAACATATGGTTCAATTTTATTTTAATAATTCGATTGTATGTAGGGATCTTTAGCAGTGGGATGAAACCAGAGGTTGGATCGACGACCCTATTCCTCGTCACATACATGCTTGAGATCAAAACCAGACTGCTTGACTCAATAACAGATCATATAATCTAAAGCGCATGTGTTAAAACGGTAGACCACCACCCCCCGAATACAAATGAAATGAAATGAAATGGGGTTTAACGTCCTACTGTTCTGCTCCTAAACTGGGCTAATGAAGATGGGCCTATGCCATACAGTGTGCAATGAGGGAAATTTTGCCCGGGCAGCGGCACTACGGCCTACACTTATATCGAATTCCAACTGCCAAGGGATCTTTTACGTGCATGCCAATGTGTACACAGGCCCTCAGTTTTTCGTCCTATCCGCACGACTAGACAACTGTCCTTGTCAGGCCCTCTGTCCTGCATCACTGACAAGGGAAAACCACGCCGGAAAATTTGGATGAACTTTCTCCGCCAATGCAGGGATCGAACACCCGACCTACATGCTAGCGAGCCAGATTCTTACCCACTTAGCCACCATGATCTTTCCCCCCCCGAATAGAATATATAGAGAAACGAACCTGCTACATCTATAACTTGACCAGCAAGAGTTACCACCCTGTATCTGGTTTTACCGTACGCTATTCTCGTTCCTTGGTTTAAATCTTGCGCTACCAGTGTATCACGTAAAGCATAATAAAACGCTGGTAGAAACGCTGGGTCCTTCACCTTTACAAGGTCAAATAATCGGGGTACATTTTCAGGTCTGAAATTATACAAATAAAATAGGATTGAACATCCTACTGTTCAGCACCGACTTGGATAATGAAGACCGGCATACACTGTAATCTGGGTATCATTTGATCTTGTGTATCTAGCACTAATTTCTTTCATATTTGGTTAATATGAAATCTTTGTTTAAAATTCTTAAAAACCATGTTAATTGTACTTGTGTCCAGTTTAAAGATGACTGATTAATTTTGATCATGAGTCTCCAATTTACAAGCATTTAATTTCCTGATCACTGTTCAAAAATTAATCATTATACATCAATAACCAATTGGGACTAACATATGGTTTGATTTTATAAAGGGTGTGGGATAATAAATTTAAGTTATTGAGAAATTGTTGGCATCTTACGTTTTTATTTTTCTATTCGCTTGATCGTTTAATCTCTGCATCTTGTCTAACCCAATAAACGTAGCCACACCAACATCTGCCTTCTTTAGAAAATCAACACATTTCTGTGCTGTTGAAATCGTATCCACTACGATATTATCTAGCGAACCACAAGCTGTTGATATCGCTACATCATATTCTTTATCAATTCCTCCCAGATCACCCTAAAAACATAAAACATTCTTTATCATTCTTTATCAAATCATCATAAAAATGGAGAACAGCAACACATATAACAAAGTTTCGGTTATCTGATGAAACGGGGAGAGAGAGAGAGAGAGAGAGAGAGAGAGAGAGAGAGAGATGGTTTAACGTTCACGACACAAACCTGGGCCCTTATTCACAAAAACTTAAACTAAGATACAATCGAAATTTTAAGAAATACTGCAATTTGATTGGCTGACCAGTAAAATCAATTTGCATATATCCAATGAAGTTGCAGTATTTCTTAAAATTTCGGTTGTAACTTAGTTTAAGTTTTCGTGAATAAGGGCCCAGGTCATTTCGGGACTAATATATGGTTCAATTTTATTTCAATAATTCGCTTGCGCATAGGGGTCTTTAGCAGTGAGAGAAAACAACAGGACCCGGAGAAAACCCACGAGGTTGGACATGCGAACCTACACGAGGTTGGACAGGCGACCCTAGGCCTACTCCTTGTCACGTACAATCAGGGATTCGAAACCACGTCAGTTGACAGCAGTTGGAGGAAACCAGAGAAAAACAATTGGGGGTGAGCAAATTTCAACTGAGAAGGGTTCTTTTAGAGGCACCTTGAACCTTATCCAGTGGAAACCTGAGCTCGTATTAAATAGCTGGTTCTCAAACCTCAGACAGTGGGAGGATACTGAAATGGGGGTGAGCAAATTCTAACTGTGAAGGGTTCTTTAAGAGGCACCTTGATTTCTGTCCCTTTAGAACCCTTTCCAGTGGAACCCTGAGCTGGTATTAAATCATTCAAGTTTATAGCTGGTATTCAAACTTCGGTCAGTCATTTAGACGGTTGACTTTCAAAACCACTTGACTACCAAATGAGCTTTAGCGTACTACTGTTCTGTACCAGCTGGGATAATACGACCATACTTTGAGTAAATTTTAAAAATGATTTAATATCTGATCATTTCACCATCATTAGTCAACTGTGCTTGAAGAAACCGAAACCTCAAAAGACCAAAATAACTTACAGAAAGACCAAACATTTAGATATCAAGACATTTAAAACATCTATAGAAAATAGTAAATTATTAGAAAGTCTTCAATTAACTAATTCCCTTGACGATCAAATTCAACTGTATAATATCACTCTCTCAAATATACTTGATAATCATGCACCGAAAGTTTCCAAGGAAACTAAGACCCAACAGAAAATGGTTTTCCGATGATAATTGTGAATCAATACTTACTAGACGCAAGGCAGAGAAGACATGGAGGAAAACTAAACTTTTTGAAAAAGTCGCTGCATATCAACTCAAATCGCATTTTAATTCAAACAATCTCAACGAAAAGTTTCAAATTGATCAGGGCACAGTACAGAAACGGCACTTGTTCGTGTTTATAACGACATCATCAAAAATATTGAAAACAAGGCATCAACAGCACTGCCTTTGACACAATTGATAAATCCATTCTTATCCAGCGCCTTTCCACTTGGTTTGGTGTCCAGCGAAAAGTTTTGGATTGGTTCAGCTCTTATCTGACAAACCGAACCCAGTCAGTAGTCATTGGCGGTAACCAATCTTTACCATCGTCTCTTGCCTTTGGTGTACCTCAAGGATCCGTATTGGGATCCGTGCTTTTTACGGCATATACTTCTCCAGTTGGTGAAATTATTCGAAAACATGGCATTGACTATCACATGTATGTAGACAATACTCAACTCTATATATCACTAAAATCGGAAAATGAATATAACCAGATAGATAAAATTCAACATTGTATTACTGACAGACAATGGATGAGGCTCAATTTTCTAAAACTGAATGATGATAAAACTGTAGCACTTCCGATTGGACCAAAAATTCAACTTAATCGATTATTAACTGAAACTTTATCCATTGGTTACACTGAAATAGCACTTTCAAAAACAGCAAACAATCTTGGGGTAATATTTGATCAGGAGCTTAACATGAAAAGGTTTATAAGTAAAACATGCCGTGCTGTAAACTTTCATCTTTATAACATTTAAAACAGGGTTTTTGGTGCTAGAAAGTATGCATATAGTTTACTTTCCAAACATCGTTTGATAATTAACACTAAACCTGTTACCATTAAACTAAGTCATAGTACTAACTAAATGATTTTTGTAATTCTTAAATGATTTTTATCAATTATCGAACGATGTTTTGAAAGTAAACTACATGTATACTTTCTAGCGACAAAACCCCCGTTCTAAACGACACCATTCTTTTAGTGACTGACAAGGGGGAGCCATGCACTTTCTTGGTCAAAACTGGGATCGACAATAGGGACCTCCAGGTCAGTGAGTCAGCATCCTACTCATGCAGCCACGGCAGCTCCACGCCATCTGAATCATTTTGAAACTAACACATGGTACGCCTTTATGTCAATGAGGCACCAGTAGACTAGAACTTACCAGTCTTCCATGGATACCAGATATTTTTCCCAATCTTTTCTGTTCCATAAGAGCCTGGATAACCTTTCCTTTGTTCAAGTCTGCCTGCATGGAACTACGAGTGGCTTCTAGTTTCGCTCTTAATTCACGGACCTAAAATATCAGCAAATATAAAACATCGTCTTTACAATGTATGTAAATATAACATCTATAATATAAAACATCGTCTTTACACCATGTGTAAATATAACATCTATAATATAAAACATCGTCTTTACAATGTGTGTAAATATAACATCTATAATATAAAACATCATCTTTACAATGTGTGTAAATATAACATCTATAATATAAAACACCATCTTTACAATATGTGTAAATATAACAACAATAATAAGTCTAGGATCTCTGTAGAATTTATACTTGGGTATCAGAAATATAAAGTCTAGAACGAATTACCTTCGGTAACTATTTCAGTGACCCATGCTTCACTATTTGGGATACGATTACATATTTTTATTGAAATTGTGTGTTTAACATCCTACTACTGTAAATGAATCAGGTTTATTAAGATGGGAATATGCCATGCAGTATGCTGTGAGTCTCCATTTACTTCAAGTACTCAACATCCACCTAATAGTTGTTGGTTTTTGGCCTGCTTGAAAACAACTTGTCAAGTGATAACCACACATCCATATGGATAAGTCCATTGGCCAATTACGCTATTTTACCGAGATTTCGTCTAATGGTTTGAATGCAGCTAAGGCGGGTGTGGCCTCAGGCAGGGTAAACTTACCTGTTATCACTGTTTGTCGTGTATTTTGTACACGGTGAACAGTCCATTTGCTGATTACACTATTTTGCATATACCATTTTTTAGGACTTCGAATATTGTCTAATGGTTGGATTGTTCGTACTTGGTTTTATTTTATTTTTAGGAAATTTAAAACTTAAAACTAAAATATTATCAGGATGCAGGCATTTCATTGCTTGAGAGATAAAATCCAAGAACAAACTTTAGCTTGGCCAGGATTATTAAAAATATTTTAGTTTAAGTTTTTGTAAATAAGTCTCCCATGATCGATTGGCCGAAAAAGTTTATCAGGATTTATCAGATTGGTGGCCAGGGTCAGGGATAACATAGTTGTGGTTTCACCCTTGACAGTCGTGTAGGATGGAGGGTCTGGCCAGGGTCAGGGATAACATAGTCGTGGTTTCACCCTTGACAGTTGTGTAGGATAGAGGGTCTGACCAGGGTCAGGGACAACATATAAATATAGTTGTTCAGTTTGGACATAAAACCAAGCTACTGTGCACGCATTGGTATGCACGTAAAAGATCCCTTAACAGATGGAATCCAAATAAGAGTAGGCCATAGCGCCTCTGTCCGAGCAAAATAAGAGTAGCTCATCGCGACGCTGTCCGGGTAAAATTCCCTCAGTCTTCTGCATGTGACGCATCCCCGTCTTCATTACCCCAGTCAAAACAAAATAGTAGGATGTTAAACCCCATTTTATTTCACAAGAGAGAGAGAAATTGGATTTAACATCCATGCGACATTTTGGAACTAACACATGGTTCACTAAGTCTCTTGCGTGTAGGGGTCTTTAGCAGTGGGAGGACCCAGCGAAAACTCACGAGGTTGGATTCATTTGACAAACGAATCAGTAATAACTTACAGTCTGAGTTGATTTTGCTTCTTTTTCTTCAACCTGTTTAAAATCTTGTTTACATTTAGAAACTATCTTCTGTAATTCTGGTATTCTCGTCTCCATTTCAATTATATTCCTGTTAAAATAGATTACTGTTTATACAAGCTGTCTATTTAAACATATTTAATACTGGAAGCAGTGAAATCTCTTAATTACTCCAACGTACGCTAGACATGTCTCTCGTTAACCATCAGCTCCTTGCGCATGTTTCCTAGGAAACATGTCTGCGATATCACCCTCGTTAGAAACAGGCATCAAGTCAGACACCCACAATATATTTAACACAAGTTAAAGGATACAGTAGAACTTGTATTAAGCAAGCACCCAAGGGAAATGCTTGCTTAATGGAGGTGCTCTTTGACTAGAGGTATCTAACATTGCCACAACCCCTACCACAAAAAATAAAGATATAGATTGCATATATTTTTTTTATTCATGTAGTATAACAGTAACAATACATCTAGTTGTGAATTCAAAGTAGTCGTGTATACATGTTTGTTTAGTAATACTGGATCTCTGGCCTCCCAATATTTCTTTTACTTTCATCATACTGAATCATAGCGTCTAAAAGCGTTTCAAAATGCCGCGAATTTGAGTATTTCCCACCCCAACTATTTTAGCGATTACGCGACCACTTAATATAATCTGGATGCTTTTTGTGCTGACATAAATTAATTACGCCTGGGTGCATTGGGAGCGAACATCAATACGTGCATCGATAAATTTGACCGTCGCTGAATCTTGCGCCGAATGAAAATTCTTTACTCAAATCTCGGACATAACTTCTGTAAACTTGTCATTTTGTAGCAACCTTCGATACTACTGTCTATCATTGTGATGCATTCGATAATATTTATCCATTTTTGTGAAGAAAATCGATGAATTAATTTTATTTTATCAAAAAAGCACACATTTTATAGGGGATGTAACTCTGTATGTAATATTATAGGGGGCGCTAAAACGTCTGTTTAACATCAGTGCTGTTGAACAACAAAGTGGCAATGGAAAAGAGATACTAGATGATCGTGACAAAACTCGGTACTGTTATTTTATTCAATCAGTATCAAATAATGTGTCGTTACGCGTGAAAACAATGATCAGGATAGTCGTTTAATAAAAGAAAAGATTAATAAACAGATAATCCCGGGTTGATTGTTATTTTTACATTTCTTTTTACCTGATCAGTGGGGGTCCAGTTAATTAACTACTACTCACGGGATTAGCGGGAGTGTTACAAAGAAAGAACGACAAGATGGTATCATTCAACAATGGCTGTTGAATGGGCGATATTTTGTTAAATTTATTAGTAAAAAAGTGACCGCTGGCCGCGTTAGAGGAGTGACCGTTGAAAGAGTAGAATTTTTACGGGGGGGAATCAATTGTGATGCCCGCTGCACGCGTTGAACAGGTGCGTGTTTAGTAGAGGTTAAATTACTTAAAAATCGCTCGGGGGGATTTTTTGGTGCTCGTTGAAGCAAGTGTTCGCTGATTAGGAGTGCACGCCCGAGCAAGTTCTACTGTACTTAAAATATAGTTTATTAATCTCAATATTTAGGAGAGCAAATTATATAATTTGCAAGAGTTTATAATCAATACCGAGAATGAAAGTCGAGAGGAGCAGGAGCGAAAACGCATCCTTAACGTGAAGAACTGGGACATAGATTTTTCATCTTATACAAATTCCGTAAACAACTGACTACCATTACCCACCTACAACCATGTATCTTACGACCTACAACCTGTAACCTATGACCTGTAACCCATTATATAATTCAAGTTACATACATACGTTTTTCTAGTTTTTAAAGTTTCTTCCAATGTTTCCAGTTTTTCTGATGTTTCTTTTAGCTTATTTTCTTCTCTTGTCTGGTTGCTAAGATACACATCAAGTTCTGATTGGGCAATTTGATACTGTAACAGTTACAAACATATATATATGAAAATCAAATAAATACATATATCACTTTTAAAGGAAAGAGATAGAAATGGGGTTTAACATCCACTCGACACAAACCAGGTCATTTCGGGACTAACATATGGTTCAATTTTATTTCAATAATTCACTTGCGAGTAGGGGCCTTTTAGCCGTGGAAGGAACCTGGAGGACCTGGAGATAACCCACGGGCTTTAACTGTCCACAAACTAGGTAATTTTGGGACTAACATATGATTCAGTTTGATTTCAAAAATATGCTTGTGCATAGAGATGACTAACAATTAAACGTGATATACAGTTTTGTCAAATTTACTACAAATGTGGCCATTTTTAAGTCAGGAGATGTCATATTGAAAGATCTAGTACCACTGATGACGTTGGGTAATAACAGAGTTTACGCTGTCAGTCACCAAAGTCGCAAAAAAAAACAACAAAAAAAAAATGTAAGAGGCAATCAAAATTTCATTTGGGCAATAATTTTTATGATAAAAGTTTTGAGGTACTTGCGATTCTTTATGAGACGTGGCGGGAAGGAAATCTTACAATTCTAATCGTAAGTATCTTAGATAATGGTGGATCACGTGGTGGATCACGTGGTGGATCACTATGTGACTTATACAGACGTGAAAGACAATCAACAATATTCACGTTTCAGTGTTTACAAGAAAAAGTAAATGATCTACCATTTTACATAAAGTCACATCAAGTTGATTTTACATAAAGTCACATCAAGTTGAATTTCTGATAAATAATCACTTGAATCGTGTGAAATCTTTTTTAAATTGTTAAAAATGTGGTACTAGAAGCTTTTAAACAATACAACCAACACTGTAGAACTGGTACCGTGTACAATGTAACCAAGTACTTTTCGCCTATTCAAAGGTTCCAAATAATAGAGCAATATGCCCTTTAACAGGTAAAAATATCCAAGTTCATTAATGTGATATTGATATATAACCTTAGATATACATGGTATATTACCTTAGATATACATGGTATATTACCTTAGATATACGTGATATATAACCTTAGATATACGTGATATATTAATATATAACCTTAGATATACATGGTATATTAATGCTTTATTACCTGAGATATACATGTGATATTAATATATAACCTTAGATATACATGATATATTAATATATAACCTTAGATATACATGATATATTACCCTAGATATACGTGATATATTAATGCTTTATTACCTTAGATTTTGCTTCGTTCACCGATTGACACAATTCTAAAACTTTCTCTTCTTTTTTATCTTTTTCAACTTGAAGTTCCTGTATTAAAACATTTAAAGACAGCTTTAAAGTAAACAACATCTACCCAGGACCAGGCCTTCGTCCTGCACCACTGACAGGACCAGGCCTTCTGTCCTGCACAACTGACAGGACCAGGCCTTCGGTCCTGCACAACTGACAGGACCAGGCCTTCCGTCCTGCGCCACTGATAGGACCAGGCCTTCAATCCTGCACCACTGACAAGGGGGGAATCAGGTCAGAAAATGTAAAGGAACTCTTTAGTCAACAGCTGGGCAATAATACAACGTCTATGTTCAGTAAAAGTGAAATGAAATGACAGTGCTAATGAAGATAGGCTATACAGTGAGACTACAGCCTTCCCTCATTCCTAATTTAAACTGTCAACAGTCCATGCACTCTCAGATTTTTGTACCATCCCAACAACTAGACACTTTTCTTGCCAGGCTCTCCATCCTTCATTATTGACTTGTGGAGACAAACCAGGACCAAACCTGTGACCAACACTTTAATCACTGAGCCACAACAGCTCCTGTGTAATGAAGGAAATGATATAATATTATAATACTAAAATGCTTTGGCTGAAGATAACATCCACTTTGCCATAGTCATCTAGCCAAGGCAGCTCTAACGTAATGAGGAATAAATGTATCTTACCATTGTTTCAGTTTTCAGACTATCCATAACTTTCTTCACAGATTCTTCTGCTTGTATTTTCTCTGATTCTAATTTCTCCAGTTTTACAGTCAATTCTTCCACCAGTTTCTCACTTTTAGCAGGGACGGCTTTTAATTCCTCTATCTGTCGAACAATGTACACTTGATTTACACAAAGAGAGAGAGAGAGAGAAATGGGGTTTAACGTTCACTCAACACATACTAGGTCATTTCAGGACTAACACATGGTTCAATTTTATTTCAACCATTCGTCACAAGGTTGGACAGTCAACCTACTCCTTGTCACGTACAACCGGGGCATCGAAACAACGCGAGACCTTATGATACAGCATACACATGCTAACAATTACGCCATCCACCCTCGCTATCTATCGAACAATATACATACGATTTACACAAATCATTAGGTAAAGTTTGCAAAGATAGGTTGCCAGGCAACGAAACATACGCCCACAGCAGCTAAATTGTCCGGGCAGTCAACAAGAGTTGTCGCATATTTTTACTTTTTTCAGTAATGAAACATTTATAATACACTAAAATCTGATTAAGAGCCACAACTCATGAAGCAATTATCAGAAAACCATTAGAATTTGTTTGTTTTTTATGAAGTTCTGCCCCATGTAAACGTTTTGTATACAAAACTTTTAATATCATGGATTTAGCTGTTCAAGTCATAAAAATTCATTGAAAATCAATATACTTGTTCGTCTCAAGATCTTAAACTCTGTGTATCAATCTTAAGTCAATCGGATGATAACTTTAGCCTTTAGAGTGTCACAAAGTTATCAAGGGCCATAACTCTGAAAGTAATTATCGGAAATCGCTGAAAATCAATACACTTCTTCGTCTTATGACCATAAAGACTGTGTATAAATTTAAAGTCAATCGGATATTAACTTAAGCCTCTAGAGCGTCCACAAGCAATTGTGGATGTATCAAAATCAACAGGTCAACTTTATGTCTTCGATACAAATTTTACACGCCCAATCCAAAAGCTGATCACTTTACCCAAATCAATATCAATATGTTTTGGACACATGGTGTTTAACATACACCAATTCGCTTCGGGACTAACACATTCTTCAATTTTATTTGAATAGTTTGTTTGTGACGTCTTTATCACTCAATTGGGAGGAAACTAGATTAAACAGACAATCACACAAGGTGGGACAGATAAACCTACTACACTTGACTCAGATAAACACACTAGGTGGGACAGATAACCCTACTACACTTGACTCATATAAACACAAGGTGGGACAGATAAACCTACTACACTTGACTCAGATACACACAAGGTGGGACAGATAAACCTGCTACACTTGACTCAGATACACACTAGGTGGGACAGATAAACCTACTACACTTGACTCAGATACACACACGGTGGGACATATAAACCTGCTACACTTGACTCAGATACACACTAGGTGGGACAGATAAACCTACTTCTTGTCACGTACAAACTGAAGAATGAAACCAGTCGAATTAAGTGATTTAAAATGCAATTTTCTATTGTATGTTTATAATTGAGTATTCAGTTATTTTCTATTTACTCTACATTGGGTATTTGAATAAAATTATTTTGTAATAATATATTTATATTATTTAATTTCCCGATTTACTTAAGTGCGTCCATATATGGCCACATGCATCTTAATCAACTGGCACCGTTGTAAATTAATCAGATCCACCCACCTTTTTGGTTTCTGCTACAAGAGTAGCTTCCTGTTTTTTGATTTGAGCCTTGGTATGTTTTAAATCCTCCCGACATTTGACGTCTTTCTGCTCAAACTCATTATATTTATCTTTATTTATTTCTATCTCCTTCTGTAACTCTTGGAATTCTCTGAAATAAATCAAAACAAATGGGGTTTAACATCCACTCAACACAAACTAGGTCATTTCGGGACTAACATATGGTTCAACTTTTTTCCATAATTTCAATAATACGGAGGACCCGTAGAAAACGCACAGGGTTGGACAGGCGACCCTACTCCTTGTCACGTACAACCCTCCCCCTTTGGCTAATGGGCCTAGAGACCAGCTAATGGGCCTTTAGATCAGGTAACTCTTTATTTTAAATTCCAAGTGTCAAGGGTAATTTTACGTGCAGTCCAACCTGTACACAGGACATCACTTCATCCGAACAACTACACACCAGAGTGGATTTAAAGTCTTGTCATTACTTCGATCATTTTGCGACTAAAATATGGGATTTTTATGTTTACGATGCAAGAATTTTGTTTAAGACAGTTGTGTTAATCTTCCTATCACCTCTTCTTCAATTTAATATTGTCCAGACTATTTTTAAAATGTGCACATTTTGTGAATTTAGCGTTACACAGCTGGACAAGTGAACACTTGGCTGAATAAAACCTCTAAGATCTTCTCAGGCCAAGACAAGTTAGAAAGGGTCTTTAACATCCAACCAAAACATAGCCTGTTATTCAAGGAATGGAATTTTAACCCAATTAATTCACAATGATTGAATGGTACAAACAGATCAAGAATTTAACCCAAGTAATTCACAATGAATGGTACAGATAAAGAATTTTAACCCAAGTAATTCACAATCAATGGTACAGATAAAGAATTTTAACCCAAGTAATTCACAATGAATGGTAAAGATAAAGAATTTTAACCCAAGTAATTCACAATGAATGGTACAGATAAAGAATTTTAACCCAAGTAATTCACAATGAATAGTTTTGATGAAGAATTCTTACTTAAAAGTCTTCTTGTGTTCTTCTGCTTTTACTTTCTTTGTTTCTGTTATTTCAGCCATTTTGTTGTCAACTTCTTTCAAACTTTCGTTTATTTTATCAAATTCAGCCTTGGCCTTTTCTTCATTCTCTGTACATTCATGGCTGTAAAACAATTTAATTAACCGTTCTATATTCTCTTATTATATGTGTAGATTGCTACCCACACAGGTAACATATTACTATTCATCATTATTCATGTAACTTGTTATTATTCATCATGAATATTCATGTATACAGAGATCATTAATAATAATAATAATAAGTGCTAATATCGTGCTAATTCCACATATAGTCGTGCTCATAGCGCTACAAATAACACAATCACTCCTGCAAATATTATTCAAATAAGTATGTTTTCAATCTGGATTTAAAGGAGTATAATGATGGACTGGATGGAAGATTTTCAGGTAGCGAGTTCCACATATTGGCAGCAACAAAACTAAATGAGCGAGCTCCAAAGGAGCTTAGTATTCTTCATGAATATTCATGTATACAGAGGTCATTAGTAGTCATCATGAATATTCATATATACAAGGTCATTAGTATTCATCATGAATATTCATGTTGACATGATATATAATTTCTCCACTTACATATAAACATGATATAGCTGATGCTTGACTCCAATTAATTCATTCTCTTGCTTCAAAAATTCTAACGCCTCATTTTTGGGGCCTTCAAGGTCGTCTTTCTCCTTCTCTACAACTTTCACACGATTTAACTAAAAAAATACATGAAATATCATAAAACAGAAAATAGAATTCTTAAGATCCAAATATCTTATTTCCTATAATAAGGGAGATGCTGCAGTAATAAACTACATGTACAGAGAGAGAGAGAGAGAGAGAGAGAGAGAGAGAAAGAGAGAGAGAGAGAAAGAGAGAGAGAGAGAGAGAGAGATGGGTTTAACATCCGCTAGACACAAACTAGGTCATTTCAGGATTAACATATGGTTCAATTTTATTTCAACAATCCGCTTCCACGTAGAGGTCTTTTAGCAGTGGGAGGAATCGCCATATAGTGAGCTAGAAGAGAAAGTTTTGTCCGGCCGGGCCGCCAAAGTTTTTCATCCCATCTAGTTAAGATTGATTGTTACTGTAGATAAAATCAATATCTTACCTTTTCAGCCCGATACTCGTTTAATGTTTCAACTCTTTTTGACAAGATATCGATTGGTTCTTTAAATCTGTTACTGCCGATAATATCTTCCAGGAATTCTAGCATGCCATCTTCATGTTCCGTTAATGCTTTAGGTTTCATCATCGCTATTTGTTCAACCTCCCCCTCAAAAATATAAAACAGATATACATGTATACTGTATAATCAACAATAACCTTCCATAAGTAACTTGATTCTCGTGTGTTTAACATGTCATTGAAAACTTGGGTGATATTACGAAGGACATTAATCTTCTGATAATTAACAAAGACAAATCCTGTTACAATTGAACCCATCTTCTGTTACTCAAAACAGATGCATGGTCTGCTTTTCACAAATTAATGAAAGGAACTTGTTGTTTATATCACGTTTTGGTCACAAAACCGAACATTAAAAATTGCAAAGTAACATTTTTAAACTAAATGTCAGAATGAGTTCCAATTTATGTTACAGGTAGCCATCCCACAGCGTTTTCCAATATGCAAACACTAAAATAACCTAGCCTGGTTATCCATTGGTTGATTTATAACAAGCCAACAGTGAGGCTGATGTCCCCCGCCAAAATCCCAAAATAAATAGATAACACATATTAATTAATCGCACATTTTATTTTTTTCAAAAGTATCAAGCAATCAAACTGATAATCAACTATACACTAAGTTTTATCACTCTCTATCAGATAGAATCAAAGTTATCTTGTCCTAAAGCATCGACCAATGAAATTTCTTAGCTCTGCTTAGCTTTAGCTCGAAATGTTAATCATTGAATTCAGTCAAGACATTCACCTAATGACCATCTACATCAAGTTTAAATATTCTACCTTCACTAAAAGCAGAGCTGTTATGTTCCACAGTCTTGACCAATTAAACTGCTTATCACTCCTTAGTCTAAGCAGAAAATTCTCATCATCGAACTTAGTCAAGTAATGATAAAATGAATCTTAATACTCAGGAATTTCATCACTCTCACTTAATTAAAACCAAAGCTATTGTGCAACAAAGCATCAACCAATCAGATTGCTTATCTCTGCTTACCATAAGCTGACAATGTTTATCATCAAACTCCATCAAGAGAGAAATGGGGTATAATGTCCACTCAACACAAACTAGGTCATTTCGAGACAAACATATGGTTCAATTTTATTTAAATAATTCGCTTGCGCGTAGGAGTCATTACCTGTGGGAAGAAACCGGATGTTTTGGAGAAAACCAACTTGGCTAGATAGGTGACCGTACCCCTTGTCACGTACAGGCAGGAAATCGAAATCATGCCACTTGACTCTAACCCTAACCCTTACCTAGATTCAACACGCACACGTTAACCATTCAGCCACCCAACCCAGCTCACTTGACTCAATGATGGACCTTATGATTGAAAGCACATGTTAGACCAGATGCATTATGTAAGGGCTAAAATGTCTCATTTGGCCTCAAATGTTACATAAATCATTAATAAAACATTTATTCACATGCCAAGCTCTCTAGATCATCGGATGGTTGTAAGTTTCAATATATTCACGTTTCATTATCTATTTTTGGACAATTGTAGCGAGAACTGTCATAATGCACCTGTAAAATATAAGAATCTACCTGTATTTACCTGTAGGATTAAGAATCTGTTGTGGTCGAGATCAATTCCACATTTACGTAATAACGCAGCCACTTCCTTATAGGTAACTTTTCGTCCATCGACACTGTAGTTAGAGGTGTTATCTTTATACGCTGTACGGGAGACGACCAACTCAGAGTCAGGTACAACTGTAAAATCTTCATCTCCAGGCTAAAAAACAAATCAGTTGCTAAGCAATCAAAGAAGGGACAGAAGAAATTTCCAAAGTTTTTAAAAGTCTAATATGTGACACTAATTATTGTGTTAGAATTTCAAGTCAATCAGGTGATAGCTTTACCATACCTGTATCTACATAGGTAAATCAGGTGATAGCTTTACCATACCTGTATCTACATAGGTAAATCAGGTGATAGCTTTACCATACCTGTATCTACTGGTCCCTGTTCCCTACCAGGCCCTCCGTCCTGCATCACTGACGAGGGGACACCATGACGGAAAACCCTGAAGAACACTCTTAACGAAACGACGGCAGAAAACCGAATAGAGAGAGAGAAATGGGGTTTAACGTCCACTCGACACAAACTAGGTCATTTAGGAGATAAACACTTCCTGTTACGTATTTAGAGGGGGTTTATTGTCCATTTAACCATGCTTGAATCATTAGAACACGAGACGCGATAGCGTCGAGTTGTTCTAATGGATAATTCAAGCATGGTTAAATGGACAATAAACACCCGATAAATACGTAACAGGAATGTGTTTATCGATATTGTAGCACAAATATTTGGAGATTTTCTTCGGAACTATTTAGAAAACATTTTTACACCCATTTTGAAAAGTCGTTATTTGGTCACGCGCTTGCGTTCATTTTTCAAAATATTTTCAACAGACGGTCTCTTGCTTACCTGCAAATCTAAAATTTTTGAGTCTCGAGTTGCTGGTAAATGAATTATGAAAGAAAATGTTATTCGGATATCGAAAACAACAAAATATTTTTAACGTTTGAAGATCTTTAAAAGAACGAGAAATTGGTATTTTTTTTTGCGGTATTTCGAGGCGAGTGTCAGCGTGATTGAAATAATTCCGCCCTGCTATCCGAGACTAAAAGAGGAGTAACTCTTGGCAACAAAAATGACTTCGCTTCGGGAGTTTCATGTAAGTTTCCAGCATTTATTATTTTATTTTGCAGACTGTTATCACAATGTTGTAGTTAGTTCTTCTTTAAACAATTGCAGTTCATACTTACACCCTCTAAAATACCGTATAAACCATGACAATGATGTCTAGTCTAAGATACCAGTGGTTGCTATGTAGCTGTTCTGACGTGTTGTCAACAAATGACAATTTTGGCATAAATGATAATGATTAGGCCTATATTTCAGCTGCTGTATTCGACTCCCTCATTGTATTTTCAAGCGATTCCTTGTGACTAATGACTTATTATCAGGTAGATCATGCTAGTCAGATTTTGAAAGCATGATTTTTTTTTTTAAAAATCCACCTGATTAATAAAACTTGGTGAGTGAAGCTAGCCTACCAAAAAAGAAAACATAGGCTACTGACACTGTCACTGCCTAGTTACGAATATATTTGGATACCTGAAAACGGTTTTAATTAATTTATGATTGATTTTCTACTGTTTTATGTATTTCAGAAATGTGATTTCATAAAGGATGATGTTTGAAACTGGTGTGATAGTCATGTGTGCAGAATTCCTTGAAGATATTTGCCAATAAAGATTTGAGTTGAGGAAGATCATTGGCACAAAAATGAAAAAAAGTACTGTTATATTTATACGCAGTAATTCACCTTGATAATTTAGAGGGGGTTTATTGTCCATTCGACAACACTTTTCGACCAATCAGAATCGAGGAAATTTCTAATTTGTGCTACAATTTGGGACTAACATATGGTTTAATTTTATTTCAATAATTCGCTTGCGCGTAGGGGTCTTTAGCAGTGGGAGGAAACCGGAGAAAACCCACGAGGTTGGACAGGCGACCCTACTCCTTGTCACGTACAACCGGGGATTCGAAACCATGCCAGTCGACTCAATGACAGACTTTATGATAAAGCACGCGCACGCTAACCATTCAGCCATCCAACCCCCCAGAAAACCGAATAACTCTGGGGGTATCTAGAATAAGTCCTATTTGCTTGAGTGGGAGTCCTGAGGCCGCATGACCCTGGCCCATGGGTCATCTTAGGTCAAGCATCAAGAGGGATTTAAGGCATAGCATATTCAAATTAGATTTGAAGCAGATTTGAACCATGTTGCTGTGGGGTTTTTTTATAAAAACAAATTTTGGTAATAAATAAAGAGTAAACATCTATATCCTTGACGTTTGCCAGCGTAGAATATGGGCGTAAAATAATTTGTGAGCCCATCTGTTTTCCGCAACCAAATTGGCCATAGATACTCTCCTGACCGCCTCCTTATCAAACAAGCGCTTTAATCACTGAGGCACTGCAGTTCCTGAATTAAAGATAGAATTTAGAAATAGGTATCTTACCCCTGTGTCAATAATTCTCTGGAAATAAACACTAACGGTACAACTGTTGATGTCACGATGTTCTTCACTGTTGTGTAATAAAACACTCAGTTTCTTTGATCGTATCTTGTTGGCACGGTAACCAAACACAAACAACATGGAGTCAATAACATTTGATTTCCCACTACCATTAGGTCCCACTATTGATGTAAAACTCTGAAAAACATAAATTATATATAAATAATATTTTCTAACTCTTTGAAAGAGAGAGAGAAATGGGGTTTAATGTCCACTCGACACAAATCAGGTCATTTCGGGACTAACATAATTTTATTTCAATAATTTGCTTGCGTGTAGGGGTCTTTAGCAGTGTGGGGGGGAGGGGAGGACCCGGAGAAAACCCATGACGTTGCACAGGCGACCCTACTCCTTGTGGATGAAATATATTTCGGATATAAATAGGGGCAATATAAATATTTTCAAAGGAGAATTTGATAGAACCATGAACAAAATATCCATGACAAAAACAGTCAGCTCACAGGGCCAACCAGCCATCTTCAAAATAAAATGATTTGGCTGTCCCGTTATTTATCGCCGCCGTAAATTTTAAACACTGACAGTATGGCCTATGCCCATTAAGGCTGTGTAAAAAATATCGATATAATCGATAATCGGTAGAAGTTATTTAGCGATACGATAATCGATATGGAAATTTAAATATCGATTATTGGTATATTTACCTTCTGACGGCAAGTTACGGTCACTTTCACATGACTGAACTTGCCGTAGTCTAGCATTAGCAGACGAATGAATGAATACACAACGTCAACACAACAACTATTTCTCCCTCTGCTTACAAACTGGCACATTTTAAATATATATTATTGTAAAAACTAAACTTTAAGATTAAATACATTATTTTAATATTTTCGTTGTCTCCCTCACTTCTCCCTATTCTGTCTGTAGGGAGAAGTCACTTCTCCCTAAAATTTGTCCCTAGTTTCAGCCCTGATTACTAGTTGAAACTAAAATAGGTCACGCACTTTGTGAACAATGACAATCGCACGTGATATATAGTAAAATTATAATTATCTCCTTTCTTTGTTCTTGATTGATTTGTAGAGAAATCGTCTGCTTTCACGATAAAACTAATTGTATTATTAATGATCAACTCCGCTTTTATTACTAAATCATGTCAAGATACAGCCCATACAAAACACGTTTTTGACTTCCAGGGAAAATATCTATATCTCTCGTAATTTCGTGGAAGAATTCTACTTTGGTTTTCATCTAAATTAACCAATCATAAAAATTCTACTTTGAAAGCCCTTAATTATTTTTTTATTGTCCAATCAATAGACGCCTTCTATTTTATTTTATTCTATTAGTAGTAACACTGTGTGATCGCCAGTCACTTGCAAAGAGAAACCATGTATTGTCTTTGTATTTATTGGAGATATTGGAATAAAAAAAGGTTCAAATGAATCCAGAACAAAACTTAGAATAATACTCAAGTTATTCCTACATTTAGCAACTACATGTAATCATTTTACATTAATTGATTTTTTTACGTACATCGGCACAGTATTATGGCCTGAAATGTGCAAATATCAAAAGGGACAGAGATCTTTGGGATATAAAGATATGTTTTTTAAGTTTCATCAAAATATGATAAAAATTGTGACCTCTAGAGGGTCGAAAACCTTCGTATTACACACTTCTACACAATTTGCGTACAAAGAAAGAACATATTGTCGGGCAGTTTCATTTCGATTTTCCAGAAATATGAATTCAACCTTCATTTATGGTGAAATGGTGATGTATTTAAACAGTTTTTAAAATCAGAAAAAAAATTGTGACCTCTAGAGATTCTGCAAGCTAAAAATGTGATTTTTCAAACAATCAGGGGCCATAATCCAGGAATATAAGTTCAGATATCCGCGATTATCAAAAGGAACCAAGATATTTGTGTTATGGTGATATTTATCGGAGATATTGGAATAAAAAAAGATTCAAATGAATCCAGAACAAAACTTAGAATAATACTCAAGTTATTCCTACATTTAGCAACTACATGTAATCATTTTACATTAATTGATTTTTTTACGTACATCGGCACAGTATTATGGCCTGAAATGTGCAAATATCAAAAGGGACAGAGATCTTTGGGATATAAAGATATGTTTTTTAAGTTTCATCAAAATATGACAAAAATTGTGACCTCTAGAAGGTCGAAAACCTTCGTATTACACAATTTGCGTACAAAGAAAGAACATATTGTCGGGCAGTTTCATTTCGATTTTCCAGAAATATGAATTCAACCTTCATTTATGGTGAAATGGTGATGTATTTAAACAGTTTTTAAAATCGGAAAAAAAATTGTGACCTCTAGAGATTCTGCAAGCTAAAAATGTGATTTTTCAAACAATCAGGGGCCATAATCCAGGAATATAAGTTCAGGTATCCGCGATTATCAAAAGGAACCAAGATATTTGTGTTATGGTGATATATTCACATGTTTTTTAAATCAGATAAAAATTGTGACTTCTACAAGCTAAAAACGTGATTTTGCGTACAATCAAGCCATAATTCAGGAAGTTACGTTCCGATATGCGCAAATATTGAAAGGAACTGAGATCTTTGGGTTATAAACATACATCTCGAGTTTAAATCAATTTGGATAAAAATTGTGACCTCTATAGTGTTCACAAGCTAAAAATGTGATTTTTCGTACAATCAGGGGCCATAATCCATGAAGTTACAGTCCGATACATGCCAATATCGAAAGGAACCAAGATCTTAGGGTGATAAACCTATATTTCAAGTTTCATTGAAATCGCATAGAAATTATGACCTGTAGGGTGTTCACATACAATTGTGGACGGACGGACAGGGGCGACGACAATATACATAAACATGATTATAAATAAAGTCTTTATCATTAATATCAATATTACCTTATTATAAATAAAATCTGTGAAAAGGTGAAAATGATTTAAATTTAACTCACTTTATGAAAAGGTCCAAGTGTTTGGGTTCCAGCATACGATTTAAAATTATGATTTTTGATCTGTGAAATCATCAACCTGGGTCCATTAACGTCATATGTTGCTACCGATTCTGGGGCCGCAGGAATTTCAACATCTCCGTATTCTGAAATAAAAAGATCAAACCCAAATGAAATGAGGTTTAACGTCCTACTGTTCTGCTGCGACTGGGCTAATGAAGATGATGGGCTTACGCCATACAGTGGAGCTACGGCCAACTCTTGTATCGAATTCCAACTTTCAAGGGATCTTTTACGTGCATGCCAGCATCTTATCCATGTATATCCCATGTGTATCCTTGGTTTTATAATTACCACAAAACACAGCTCTGTGTACTGATACAGGTAATGTGATTGTGAAAATATAGGTTGCCAGGCAAAGAAACATCTGCTGCATATAAATATTCAAAGTAGATCCAATGATTAACCTTTTCTCTAGAGCGCCCACAAGAATTTTTAAAGTGATCAATTTTCACAAAGTAATTAGCGTATATCATTGAAAATGTTTCTTAACATTGTGTATTAATTCAATTTCAATCAGTTCATGTCTTTAACATCTAGAGCGTCCACAATCAGACAGACCATCAGACGGTCGGGGCGATGGGAGTGTAAAATAATGAAACATCCTACTGTTCTGCTCCACCTGGGCTAATCTAGACGGGCATACAGCATGCCATAGGGTGTGCTATGATGGAAATTTTACCCGAACAGTGGCACTATGACCTACTCATATATCAAATTCCAACTGTCAAGGAATCTTTTATGTGCAAACCAATGTGTACACGGGGAGAGAGAGATGGGGTTTAACGTCCACTCGACACAAACTAGGTCATTTCGGGACTAAAATATGGTTTAATTTTATTTCAATAATTCCCTTGTGCATAGGGGTCTTTAGCAGTTGGAGGAAACCGGAGGACCCGGAGAAAACCCACGAGGTGTACACGGGACCTCAGCTTTCGTCCCATTCGAATGACTATACATTATCCCTGACAAGACTGACAATTTACTTTCTCTGTCAGTGCAGGTATCGAACATGTGTCTTCCCGGTTAGCCAGCCAACATCTTATACACTGATTCCTTGTGGCTTCCTTACGAAAAAAAAAACGTTTCAATTCGAGATCAAACCCAACAGAATCCCTAATTTGATTGACCAACAACCAGTGCTTCACGTTTAAAAAAAAAAGAGGTGCCATAAAAGCTTTTCTAAAATTACAACAGCTGAAAATCGCTCCTGCAAAAATAGCACTTCTCAACTCTAATCCATGTATTTCATACTATACTTTGACCATAGATGAAGCCATTTATTGACCATTAATACTTAGAAAATGTTTTGATATTTATTAGAATAAATAAAAAGAAAAATGAAATTTCAGTATTTATCTTTCACACCTAGGGTCCTATACTGACTTGATGAAAACCATAAAGAAAAGTCACAGAAAAAATCTTAAGTTTAACTTTGACGCCCTGATAATTTTGACGCCCTGATAACTTTGACAAAAAGTCTGCACCGTAACAATTCGATGTTTCCCGTTTTGTCTCCAATGAAAATATAAACAATGAAAAAATTCAGAACAATGTTCGCAAATAAAGTTTATGTATAATTAATATAATTTACAGGACAATTTGAGAAAATTAAACAATTTGGTCCAAAGAGTATTTTATACGTACATGTATATAATTTTTAGCGTAAATAAGTCGGAATGTGAGAAATGAATTCCAGGGGGCGCGATAAACTGTCCTCTGCACATGATTAATAATAGTGTCATGTACAGGTGCAACGACGTGTTTGATATTCCATTTTATACCGATATTTTAGAATCCGAATTCTACACATTTCTCAACGGCAGGGCCATAGGCCTCTGAATTAAACTTAAAACATGATTTGAGACGCATGTTTTACTAAGCGGAATTCACATTAAGACTTACAGCTAGTGCGGCTGTCGAAGAAATTAAATACGATATTCACATGGATCAAAATAAGAATCAAAACCATTTAATCGCGTTTGTGTACATGGATAATGTGTGACGTGGAAAATTATAAATGACAGGTCAGTTACTAAAGCGACATTTCGAGGCCTGTCTGATTAAACTCTATATTTATTTCTATTTATCTAAATTTTCTTTTTTTGAAATTTATAGAAAATCGCGTGTGAAACTCGAATCGTCGATGCAACTGTGTACGTGATCAATTGAACATTTGGAAAACTGTTCTGACTGTATCTTTTTTTTTTTTTTTTGTTGTACGTATTTATTTTAAGGTTCAATAATTATTCTCTGAATTGACATAATCATTGTTTTGTTGGTCATATTCAACCAAGAGGAAATTTCAAAACAATGGCTGAATGTTCGCTACACAACTATTTTTTTCATTGGTTAGAGGGGTCTAACCGCAGGAAAATTTACTGTTACTATTGGCTGACAGCATGCATGCACGAATCAAACAATCTTATTTGCATATTGCATGCTTTATTAGTATAATGGCTGGATCGGTAACCTCAACGACCAACATGTATTACCTTTTATTAGTGTGCTACTGAGTTTGCCATTATATACAATAAAAATAAGGAATATTTTCACGTTAACAAAAATATTTACTTGACGCATCATATGTTTCCACTAATTTCCAGCACCCAGAATCAAATTTAGCGATATTTTCCTGTGGGCCAGAAACACAATTCCCATTGGACAATTATTCGAGGATTGGTTACATGGGCTTTATTTGCAGTTTGGGGGTTCGTTTTTTGACAAATGTAAAATATGACGAGAACAATTTTATCCTCGGAGGAGAGCGATCGCTCGCGTCAAACGTGAAGCACTGAACAACCGTGTATTGATATTACCCTCTGGATTGAAATGTCTTGAAACTGTTGGGGTTTGTGGAACTTCTTCACTGGCTGGTTCCTGCTCTGTTTCCATAGCAACCTGTTCATCTTCCTGGGCGGGCGGTGCTACAGCTGTGGTGGTTTTCTTTTTATATCTGGGCATCTTTCTGAAATATTTCAAATTCAAAGCAGTACTAGAGTATACAACAATATCGTTTATCTTGAAATGCAAATTATGTGAGGCAGAAACTGGGTTTAATGTCCACTCATTAAAAATAAGAGTATTTGGGGAATAACATATGGTTCAGTTTTATTTGAATATAATAAATACCTTGCGTAGGGGTCTTTAGCTGTGAGAAGAAAACAAAAGATCAAGAGAAAACTCATGTGCTTGGACAGACAACCTTACTTGTTATCAGATACATATTACAAGTCTGTATGTGGGGAATAGAAACCACGGCCGGGCGGGGGTGGGGGTGGCGGAATCTCTGAGATGAGATAAACATGCATTGTGCAAGAGCTAAATCTGCCTATTACAGGTCTTTCTTTAGGCCTGAAATGTGATCTAAATTATTAATTGGACATTAATTAAACTATTATTTAAATTATCCAGACCATAATTAATCGCTCAATGCCATCGTTAGCCTGCGATATTTTGACATTTGAGGATTTGAATACATTTTGTGATGGATAATTGAGACTTTGTTTGTTATTGTACCAACGATATATTTAGTAATGACGATCGTGGTTTGTCTAAAATTCTTAAAATTGAATCGCTAATGTTCAGTCAGACAGAGTGAAGCAATTTGTCAATTTGAAATTTGAAACATTTTGCATTATTTATTTTATAACTATAATTTATAGCAAGAACGGGCAGCTCTTTATCCAAATCTTACATACATCTTTAATATAGACTGAATTGTGCTTCTGTTTTTCCATGGTTTTATTGTGTGTACTTTTGCCGTGACCGACCGAGTTTGTTTACATTTTTTGAACGAGCCTGACAATTCAATTAAGATTGTCAACGTCTATAGTTCTTTAAATTGGAACAGACATTACAGAGATATATCAACAATCAAGTATTCAATAGATTTTGGTTATTAAAAAAATATTTTAGCTATTGTAAATTAGGAATATTTACCGTTCTGCTGTGTATTATTGACAGCAATGTCGAAAATGGCGCTCAATTTCACCATCCATCCGGAAGTCTCCAAGTCTGTAATTATTGGGTACGGATAATCGAGTCTACGCCATTCCAGAAAGAAGTCAAATAACATAATTTTTGCTTCAATTTTCTCCAAATACAAAATATTAAGCTTTTAAAACAAGTTAAACGTGATCGTGATTTGTTCTACGTAACTTCATACAACTAACTATCAGATATTTGTTAAATGATTTTAGAAATAATGTTTCAGGGGAAATAACTCTCTTTAAGATTTTTTTTTTATGGATGTAGACCACTATTTGTTAAACGCGAATTGTTTACCTCTATCGTCGAGTTGTCATTTTGTGTGCTTGTTTGTACGTCCGAGGTATATCTCCTATGACGGGGAATTTGTGTCAAAAGTCAGTGCTATGTTGTTAGTGTTCTTGTATCTCCAAAGTGTAAATTGCAACAAGTCAAATGTAAAAAATTGAAATTGTTGAAATGTTGCAATTTTGAAATTGTGAAATGTTGAAATGTCAAAAGGTAGATGTCCAATGTGCAATGTGAAAGTAAAATTATTTTAAAATAAATTAATTTTTATTTAATTGGTTATATCACAAAATGAATTATACGTAGAAAAAATGTCATTTGTCAAAAGTCATGATGTCATTTTACGCAATGTAATACAGCTAAAAAAAAACTTTGTATTTGTCAGTATTACTGTTTTTTACATTTAATTGACTTCGTGAAATTTACACATTACATTCAACATTTGTAGCATTGGAGATACAAGAACACTAACAACATATCACTGACTTTAGACTCAAGTCCCCCGTCATAATCTTCAACTGGTATGGAGCGAAAACCTTGCCAGAATGTAGTAATATGGTCTCTGCGACTATATTATGTCTCTAACTGATTTATTGGTTCCACATATTATAGAGAAGTCATATGTCACGCACTCAAATTGAATGGGTGATAGATCTATATATAAACAGTGATAATTTGGTAAACATTTAATTCTATAACAAAACCACACGTCTAACACTCGCCTGGTGGAAAGTGTCCACTGTCCATATAAGGGTGGTTCTCAACGCCATTAAGCTTAGTAACCAATCATCATAATTGTATTTGTCCAATTAAATAACTGACAGAGCTGTCTCAAGTACACTGTCAATGATTAAAGGACTGATTTAGATACTATAGGGAGAGAGAGCGAGCGAGAGAGAGAGAGAGAGGGTTTAACGTCCACTCGACACAAACTAGTCATTTCGGGACTAACATAAGGTTTTAATTTTATTTTAATTTGCTTGCGCGTAGGGGTCTTTAGCAGTGGGAAGAAACCGGAGGACCGAGAGAAAACCCACAAGATTGGACAGGCGATCCTACTTCTTGTAACGATCCTACTCCTTGTAACGTACAACCGGGGAATTGACACCCCCCCCCCCAGTTGACTCAATGACAGACCTTATGATACAACGCGCGCGTACTAACCATCCAACCCCACTAGATCGTAGGAGAGCCATATGATGTAGGGTTTCCACCGGTAAACTCGTTCTGCGGTGGGGTTGGGAGAGTAGCGAATGACTTTATTGTAACCTATGTATCCAGTGCTTGACATAAAATGTACAAACGAACTATTGCATTGTTGTTCCTGTGTGAAACGACAATATGAGTAAACTGAGGAAAATACACAACGTGAAAAGGAGTCCTAAGTAGAGAATTACAAATATAACCAGAGACGATTACAAGGCTATTAAATTGTGTAGCAGGATAGACTATGCGTAACACGTCGGCCGTGGGAAGTTTTTAGCAGATGGACTTTCCACATCTGACGAGAGACGCATATTATTACAATAATCCCGACTCATAACTCCAAACAAACAACAAACGAGTAAGATATTGGAAGATGAAAATTAGAAATTAAAAGTTAGAAATGATAATTGACTATTTACATGAATTTAAAATACAAATATGCGAAATAATCCACGTACCCGCCCATGACGACCACGCCATAGACCATCGATGAAACCAATCGCATCTCATCTTAATGGCCGACCCCAGAAGACCATTGTGTACAAAGTCGAATCGAAATTGTGGGGTACCCCAGGGATCAGTTCTCGGACCAGTATTGTCCGTACTGTTCACACGATGCCTGGGGGGGGGGGGTGTGGATGGCCGAATGGTTAGCACGCGCGCGCTGTATCATACGGTCTGTCATTGAGTCAACTGGTGGGGTTTCGATTCCCCGGTTGTACATGACAAGGAGTAGGACTGCCTGTCCAACCGCGTGGGTTCTCTCCGGGTCCTCCGAAAGCGAATAATGGAAATAAAGTTGAACCATATGTTAGTCCCAAAATGACCTAGTTTGTGTCGAGTGGACATTAAACCCCATCTCTCTCTCTCTCTCTATTCTCACCTTGTTGCAACACCACAGCGTCTTGCGTCAACTCTTTATTCTCGCCTTGTTGTTTGTGACTCCAGTATTGAGTTTGCACCATGGCGGCCATGGGTACTAAAATGCCTGGCATCTTTTGGTGCGGTCTCTAGCCCTTTCAAGACTGTACTACTGTAAAGTCCGCTCACTTTCCATGTAGTCTACACGTTTTCATGTGTACAAACAAAAATCGCTGAAAAGGGTGGGGAATCCCAGGAAAATATCAAAAGGGTGGGGAATCCCAGGAAAATATCGACACAAGTGAGGATTTCTCTTTACAGCATGGAGCCTGACATTTTTAACGTTCAGTAGCCGCCTTTTTATAATACCACCATGTCTAAACAATATGCCATTTGCAAGATGAATTTGAAGAAATAAGAACGGTTGATTGACTTGTGTAGGTTAGCCTACCACTATCACGATTCGTGCTATGATTGAAATTGTGGTTTTAATCGTGGGGATTCTATTAGGTCTTATCATATATTGAGGTCAGTCGTGTTGATCGTGTTGATCGTATCGTGGACTCTAGGGACACCGCAACAGTTGAGTTGCATTTGTGCCTGTGTAGCGTTCTTTCATATTTTTGACTTGCAGTTAGGAACGGATCTCACGGATGGTGACGAGTAATCCAGCGATCCTGTCGAGGTGTGGTGACCCTAAGACGACCGCTCCGAGGAAGATCATCTAGCTGTGGTCTGTGTTGCATTGTATCGACCCAGGAGACGGTAAATTGTGGTTATGTTTACGTTGAAATGATGGACACAGGCTACCAGACGTCCACTAACCTGGTTTATATGGATCCGAGTTAAGCGTGGCATTGTTGAACAATGAGTGATTATAGGCCCAATATTGGTCACAGTTTTACGACAATTCCTGCATGTTCGATTTCACGAAAAATATGTGCATAGTGTCCACATATTCATTAAAATGGTGCGTTCTGGTGATTCATTAATTCGATGCATTCTGACACGTTGCTTCCAAAAAGCAATCAAAATGTTCCTAACACCACCAGACTGCTCTGCATTCTAAAATTTGTATCAATTGTTGAGCTAAACCCCGCAGCACACTAAATAGGGAAATACCGTCTTCATTAGATTGCAGTTGATGCAGAAAAGTAGCTTAGTACTTGAAATTCGCTTCCATTTCATTTCATCACTCTATAAGCATACAATATACAGTCTGGGTCTTCGAGACTAGCTGAATATACAATATATTTGCTGCTTTAATTTTTGTACTAAATTGTTTGTCTTTCTGTTTCAAAATGCGACGGGTGTATAGCGCGATCTGGCAACCTATCTTTTAGGATTCTTGTTTTCTGTTCGCGGCGTCTTATGCTTCGTTGATTCTGAGTTCACAATACGACAACCTTTGTGGGCTGCCGGACGATATAACAGTTAAGAACGTATATTTCGTGGCCTGGCAACCTATCTTTTTGGATTGTCGTTTTCTATTCGTTACGTCGTGTGCTCCGTTCTATGTGTTGTGTTAATATAATTAGATGCATCAGCCCATTCATCTAGATCGTGATATAAACAGGCCCGTAACAGCCCCCCCCCCCCCCTGTGAAAAAATTTTCAACCATAAAAAAATAGATATACATTGTCCGTCAATATTACAGCACCCCGGAGAACATCCCCCCCCCCTCCTCACAGCTATTAGCTAGTTACGGCCCCGGATAGCCTATAAACAAACCTCCTTAAGGTTTATAAATAAAAATAGAAGATATTATAAAATCTATAAAAGGATATTTTGAAAGTTATTGGAGCATTGAGTAACTACTGAAGGCCTGTTTTAATCGGCTTATAACTAAATAGAACACTATCCAACCAATCTTTAAAGTATGGAAGACGATAAGTACCAATTCGCTCCTTCTTGCCCGCGCGAGATGAAATGAAATGAAATGGGGTTTAACGTCCTACTGTTCTGCTTCTAACCTGGGCTAATGAGGACGGGCATACGCCATACAGTGTGCTATAAGGGAAATTTTGCCCGGGCAGCGGCGATACGGCCTACACTTATATCGAAATCCAACTGCCAAGGGATCTGTTACGTGCACGCCAATGTGCACACGGGACCTCGGTTTTTTGTCCCACCCGAACGACTAGACAGCTGTCCTTGTCAGGCCCTCCATCCTGCCGCGCGAGACGAGGGGTAGTGGGTTCGATCCTGGTGTTGGCCGAAGTTCCTCGGATGGGACGAAAAACCGAAGTCATGACAGTAGGAATTTCCTCTCATAGCAAAATATATGGCGCATGCCCGTTTTCATCACCACAGTCGGTGCAAAGGAATAGGACGTTAAACCACATTTCATTTCATATCTGTCTACTTAGTGCAATGCGAAGCAGCGACGGAGCGAGTTTAGCCTGACCATTTTGTCGCGGCTTCTTGACTTTGCATCCTGAAGAAAAGGAGGGGCGAAGGGATACTTATATCGTCATCCATTTTAAACACGTGACCTGGACCGCGAATTGTTGAGTTTCATTCTATATAAGAAACATCATCTCTCTACCCTGCATGTCTCGAGATAAAAAAAATGGTACTATATAGTTGTTTCTGACAGGTGCTGCATGTCTCCAGATAAGAGATGGTACTATATAGTTCTTTTTGGCAGGTGTGATTGAGATAGTATTTCAATAAGCAAAACTTTCACTTTTTTTCTTCAAATCAATCTGACTAAACCACAGGAACTATTTCG